TCTTCGGCTGTGGCCTTGGGGAGGAGATTGGCCCCTTTTCTCTTTCAATACACCTGCTACGGGCACTATTATTTATTTATTTATTTAATAAAAACTAACAGAGAAGAAGAATTACTACTCTTCTCCACCAATAATTTTTTAAAAAGTTTATTTTTATTTTTTTAAATTATTCAAGTTTTATGAGTTGAGTGAAGAGTTTTACGGATTAATTTAAATAACTTATTTTTTTTTAATTTTTTGGATAATTGATTTAATGAATAATATCTTTTTTCTTTTTAATTTTGATTTTAGTTTTTTTTAAATTTATCTTTAACATTGAATTTATTGTGGATTGAGTTTTGTAATTTATTAAAATATGTTTTTTGTGAGGTTTTCAAGTCTCATAATTCAAGTCGAGAGTTTTGCGAGTTGACTTGTATCAAGAGTTTGACGGGTTAACTCAAATTAATTTGGATTTTTTTTTTAATTTTTTTTTAATTTTATCCTTTAACATTGAAATGATTAATAATTGATTTTTATAATTAATTTATCTCAATATTTTTTAAAAAAAATATTATATTAAAATATTTTTAATTAAATTATTTTTTTAATTATTCAAGTTGTTTCTAAATTTGCTAAGTATTATATCATTTCAATTTCTTTTTCTTCTCTTTAAAAACACATTAGCTATGCTATACTTGGAAATTTTTTAACATTTTTAAAAAAAATTGATTCTATTGTCCACTTATTTGAGCATTGTGCGTGTGCGTGTGTGTATAAAGAAATGAAGAGATGCTTAGTATTGATGGTAATATGATTACGTACAAGTAAGGAGAAAAACAAATATTGAAGAACCCTTCCACCGAAAACTGACAAAGAACAGCACCGTGCAGAAGAGAGTAGAGTGAAAGGGACGAGCTGAGAGAGACATGCCCATGGTTTTAAGACGACCCGGTATTGTGGCTAGCTCGATTGAAGGCCTCGATTTTAAATTTTGATTGGATTATTTAATTAATTGGATTAAATTTTATTTTTTAAATAAATCGAAATGATGTTATTTAAAAAAAACAAAAAATTAATAGATTTATAATTAGTTCTTAATCGAGTCTTATCGAGTTAACCTGTCGAGTTACACCTAGTTTTTTTTTCTGTATTTTTTTCTTCAATTTGGGCCTGTTTCAGCCTTAGATTGACCGGATCCTAGGTCAACTCTAGATTAGGCTGGGTTTCAAAACTATGGATATGCCAATAAAAAAAAAATGAAATATAATATTTATGTTTTAAGTAGGGATAAGATTCTTGGAACTATAATATTTATGTTTTACTTTAAAATTTATTAAAAATATTTTTTTTTATTTTTAAAATTTATGTTAATATCAATACATTAAAATATTTTAAAATAAAAAAATAAAAGATCTTCGAAAATATTTTTTCAAGACGAAAACAAATATGTTCTGACACATCAAAAAACTAAAAAATAATATATATTTTTTTAATTTCAAAATAACTTTTTTTAGTTTAATATTAACAACATCAATCCTTATATCACAAAAATTACATTTTATTACATAAAATCTTGGAGAATATATTCTTTATATTAATCTATTATTTTAAAAATAACTCAATCAATCTTTACCAACATCTATTTTGACATTTTGAAAAACTATCCCATCAATTTTTTAGAATTTTCACCAATTATTATGAATTTAAAACATGTTTAGAAATATAATTACAGTTATTTTTTATAAAAAAATTTATTAAATTTATTTTTTATTTTTTAAAAATTATTTGTGATATTATCATATTAGAATAATCTAAAAAATATTAAAAAAATTATATAAAATTAAAAAATTAAAATCTTTGAAAAATACAAAAACAAATATAACATTGAAAACCAAGTATAACACGGAAGGACCTGTGACCATCTGCCTTTTCGAAAAAGAAGACAAAAGGGGGAGGGGGAGCGAGGGCACTCGTAACTCTGGGATATAGACTCAAGACGTTGTCAAGAACAAGTCTTGACGAGACGTCGAGGAGACACCACAAATTTATTTCGAAGAGGAAATCAATGATGCGTGAAAAATCAAATCTATTTTGGCTGTGAAAGCGACTCCGTCTACGCGGGCTTGCTTGTGGCTCATGTTTTACCTCTTCATACCCGCGTTAACCCCCCAATTCCAGGCCCCTTTGTCTTTTTTTCTTCCGCACGTGCGTGCATGCCTGTAATTCTCTTTGTTCTCCTAATGTCAATTCCTTGTTTCTTCAAATTGTTGACTTTTTTCTTCTTCTTTTTTAATAGCGTGTTACGAAAGCGTTTATGGATAGGATGGATAAAGAAATACTCGAGAGGAGTACTTGAGAGGAATCTCAATTATTTTGCAAATATAATATGGAAAAAACAATTATAATTTTATATGCAATTATTGCTATTGAATCAAGTTAAAATTTAATTAGAAAATTATGCATACAAGGGCAACCAACCCTGTTTTGAAACGCTTTAAATTAGGTTTGGAAAATATTATTTTTTGTTGTTTTAATTATTTTTTTAGTTGATTTTAGATTCTAATAACTTTGAAATCTTTTGGTTAGGTTGGTTTTTACCTCTATATAAATAGTTGAATGTGTTGTCAAATTATTTAACTATATACTTCTAAAAAAATATCATAGTTTTCTCAACCTAATTTTCTATAATTTAGGTTCATAACCTTGGGATTTGAGAATTCTAGTTTTATATTCACACTATATATTACATCAAATTTATAATTTATAATTTATAAATTCTTAAGTAAATTTTTACTCTTATATATTTTCTAGCCCTCGTGAAGGAAACTATCAAACTTTTTCATTGAAAGGTTGCTTCGGATTACATAGATTAATTATTAGGAATATAAAAAATAATTAAACATTGAAGTATTAAAGATATTCAATAAATATGTAAAAAATTGACTACTAAAATCTTGCAATTTACATATGAAATATTCTGTCGGTAGTTAGACACTAATTTTGTTAGCATAATTATTATCAATTGGATCACAAACAGTTATTATTCATTAAAAAAATTATAATTAATCATTTTTATTATGTCGACCATTCACTCGGTAATATAATCATCGATAGATGTAT